CCCGCCCCACCGCGCCCAGCTCCGGTCATTATGTTACTGCCCCGCGGCCCCGCCACCCTGGACTAGACGATCCCAAGTTTTAAACAGACGTCGATAGAGGACCGAGCCCGCCCAGGTGAACGCCACCGCCGCCGTGGTGGAGGCATGCACGCTCGATGCACAGCCAGTGTCGACAGTCGTCACTTCCGCGCAGCGAAATCCGAGTTTCTTTACGAGTCTCCTTGCCGCCGTGGGTTAGGTGCCCCCTCCCCTCTCTCCAGTCTGTATCTGGGCAGTGGCGGTAGCGCGGTAGCGTCACCATGGCGACCGGAGCCCACAACAAGCCGTAGCGGCTGGCGCGCACGCACAGAGGCGGGGGTGGGAGGGGGTGAGGGTGAGGGGGGCGGCCCGGCCCCGGCCCGGCCGCGAGCAACCCTTTCCGCCCCACCTCGCTGTTCGCACACCGCGTACGCAGCGTGCGGAGTGCCCCGGGCACGACACAGCCACCGGCCCACCCCACGCTGCTGCACTCTGGCGCTGCTGCACTCTGCTGCTCACGCTCATCCGCGAGTCACACAAATGCGAGCGCAGCGGGTCCGTCTCCCAGGTCGCGCTGGGTCCCCGCCGGTGCGTGGGAGAGCCGGGCGGAACTGGGTCGCCCCCCCTGTCTGTCTGAGTCCCCTCGAGACGTCTTGGGGGGGGGGGGGCTGGCGTCGAGGTAAATAATAAGCGTGCAACTCCTAACGGTAAAAAAAAAGTCTAACTTTGTGAGAAACAGGAGAAAAAACTGTGAAACCTTTAGATTGAGAAAATTGCTTCAGATTTGAGAATATTTTTATCAATAAGGGGGAGATTCCCACGTTTCATTAGAAGACTTACTCAAGATCTGAGGCGTTTTCTTCAAAATAGAAGATCCTCAAAGTTTTCACTTTTTTCTAAAGGAAATGGCGTGCATGACAAGCAGTGGTGAGGCGAAAATTCACCTTTCCCACAAAAATCTACTCGACGATTTTTTGGCAACCGAGGCTTTTAAGAATGCCTGATAATCCATTTCGCTCGCTTTAAATGGCAAGAACAATTGTTTTACAATGCACGATGCGTCTGTGCAAAATGAAAATTTGTCCAGGTGGTGATACAAATAATCTGTTGCTACTCGGGATTCAAAATGGCACCATACAAAAGATACACACACACACACATAGAGAAAAACAAAAATGTCCCCCGCCACATAGAGTGCAGATACAGCTTCACAATGATGCGCAAAAGAACAGGTCCAGCAGCATCAACCATTCGCCCCAGTAAACGATCTCATCCTCGCCAATTTCTTTACAATGTGGTCGAATTCTTCAATTGCCTTCATGGTTAATCTTGCTAATGCGGTTCAGCTTTGTCATCCGGGACAATGCCTTTCCTCCCCCACCCCTCCGGACCTCTTCCCGGCGCGCCCCGCTCACTGCCCGCGTCACGGCCAAGGCTGCGAGCTGCCAATTCTGTTCGGCAGTTTGGCGGCGCGGATTCAGATTTGTATTCCTGCTGCCACCACGGCTCCGGATTCAGGTTCTTCCTGCGCCGAGCGTCGCTAATAATAGCTTCGTCGGGGCGACTTGAACGCGGGGATCGAAAAACATCAATTTTAACAAATAAAATAAGGACACACATTAGTTTATTCATGCACTGTGTCTTCCTGAATGTTATTTTTACGTTGTTCACTTCACACCTTTCCACAGTGGCAAACCTGGGGACCTTGCCAGTGCCTAGGAGCAGGAAAGATTCGAACTCGCGCGAGAGCATCCGACAACAAGAAGCGCAAGGCCGGTCGGAAAGTGAACCCGTTGTGAACCGACACGTGACAGTTTGGAAAGGGTCCCGTCCTTACTCCATTGTTTAGAGTGCCAAAGTCAGCGGCGAGCAGCAAAGGGAGAAAGGGAATAGGGATCGGGAGGGCAATCCGTCCGGTGCCGAAGTGTCTGCCCGCCCCGCCCCGCCTCGGCAAGAAGAACCGTCACAATGGAGTGCTCCACTTGCGCTTCGCGCTTCGATGAAAAGAAAATAACTTTCGCTTCGGCTGAGGAGCGCCCCGCCCATCCCCGCCCCGCCTCGCCCTGACCCCCGTCACTCGCGACACACAACCTCGCCGCTCGCGCTGCGGCGCCCTGGCCCCAGGCGTGCGTACGCACAAACCGACACAATCACACACAGGAAAAATGGAGATTATAAATGCCCACACAATCTTTTGTGGCAAATTGTGAGTGTGTCACACCTTGGCCTGAGTGTTGAGGTTCAACTCGAGGTTCCGGCTGATGCTTAGACTCGTCCGAGGGGTGGGCGACTTGAATTTTTCGTGTACACAGGAGTACGGAGTACACGGAGTACACGGAGTACAGTCGGAGAACACTGAGTATTGCCGGTCGGAGCGCGCAGAGTACACCTGGAGTACACCCGGAGTACAGTCGGAGTACGCGGAGAACTTGCGACAAAAACAGCCGGAGTACACGGAGTACAGTCGGAGTACAATCGGAGAACACCTGGAGTACATTTTGGCTTGTACACAGGAGCCGCCCAGTCGTCCACCCCTCGAGACTCGTCTACTTTCCTCGGAAGGTCTCACCCTCATCAAGGCCAACACTTAGCGCCTGGTAGGTATGCAGCCCAACGGCCCAGCACACAGCCGTGCGCAGCCGTTGCCTACCTACTAGGCGAGCGGACTAACGCCTAGTGGGTATGCCAGCCCAGGGCCCAGCACACAGCCGTGCGCAGACGTTGCCTACCTGCCAGGAGGTAGCGCTGCGTTACGCATGCCTGCCTTCCCGACCTTACCGGTCGAGTTTCATTTTTAAATGAAACTTCCTTAAAAGGAAAATCAATCATCCAATTGGCCTCTACACGACACAAAGTTCCCAGTTCCCCCTTACTCGCGCGACGGCGGGTGTTCTCTGCCGTTGCTCAGAGGCACACATCTCGCTGCCAGCCCGGTGGGTGGGTCGATACTGGACACTGGCCGGCGGCGGCGGCCTATGATGGTGACGACTGAGCGATCGCCTCGCACCCCAGCCCAGCCCTTCGATTAGCGCCCCTCTCTGTGAGCGACTGGAAACCATACATTGTGACTGCGCTCTCTGGAAGAAAGCAGGAATTGGCATCGGTTTCCAATTCTGTCCCTTGTTATTCCAGCTAATGATGGGAGGCACTACATCGCGTGATCACAGATGTGCTCAGCTGGTTTTTACCGATAGAATTAAACCAATAATTACTTGGAGCGGTACAGAAATAGAAGATGATAAAGGGCGTGTGCGTGTCCACAAACCCCCCTAACCCCGCGGCGGGGTCCAACCTTTGCCGTTTCGGTGCCGGGCCGCGACGGGCTGACGCCGGGGGCAGCACAACACGCATCAGCAGGAATATGGGAAGCGGCCGCGTCAGCACTCGCTGAGCCTTGCGGACCGACCGACTGCGATAGTTCATTCACCGGGGAGTCATGCAACGCGCCTCTGGAGGAGAGCGAGCAAGCGCACGGCGGACAATGTGCAGCCGTCGGAGCAGCAAAGATCTGAAAAGGTACAGTCATCCCGCCGCCATCTCAATGAAATACGCGCGAGCAAGAGGCCTGGTGCTCAGGACAATTGCAATTTCAACTTGAACGAGAACGATCGGTTCCCCAAATTTATACAGGGTTGGTGATCCGCGCCGTGGTTTTTTCTGCTTATACTGTACAGGATTCGTGCGTGCGGACGGGTTGCATAGTCGCACGGGGCCATAAGGCGCCATGGCAAACGACGATAGGCAAGCCCGCCCGCACGCGTGAATCCGGTACAGTATAAGCAGAAAAAAACCACGGCGCGGATCACCCACCCTGTATGTGTGTAGGCTGTCCTCAGTGCATTGCCCCGAGCGCTGGCAGGGCGCCAATTCTGGATATCGTACCGACGAAAACAAAAATTATCCTGCGGGTTTATTGACAT